ATGATGGAGGTTCAGGTCATGGTAAGAAATGGTCAGATTCCGGATATATTTTATAGGCAGATGACAGGATTTGCTGACAGGTTGAATGTAGGATGTGAGAGAAGAAAAGAGTCAAGTTAACATCAGGGTTTTTGATCAGAGAACTAGAAGGATGGGAGTTGCTGTTGATGGAAATCAGGACGACTGTGGATAGAGTAAGTTGAGGCGGTTGGGCGTTGTGGAGCTCAACCTATAATATGCAAGATTGGAAGTCTGTTAGGCATCCAAATGGTGATGCCAGGCAAGGATGGAGCAGGAGGGTGGGTGTGTTGGGGAAAGGTTAGAGAGACGCTGAGTGCAAGGCCATCACCAGCCACACTCCCAACTTTGGGTCCTCTCACCTATGGGTTCCATACTTGCCTACTCAGGAGCCTTCTCAACAAGCCCAAGAGTGAGATGACCCCGGAGGAGCTGCAGAAGCGGGAGGAGGAGGAGTTTAACACGGGCCCACTCTCTGTGCTCACGCAGTCGGTCAAGAACAACACCCAGGTGCTCATCAACTGTCGCAACAACAAGAAGCTCCTGGNTCCCCTGTCCCCCTGCAGGACGTCTCCATAGCGACCTCCCCAGATCCTGAGGCAAATATTGTCCTGGCCAGAAGCAGCGGGGCTGTGTTGACATACTCTCAGGCGGGTGGGGTGGGGGTTCCAGGAGCCTGAGAGGCCAGGATGAGGGGCAGGAAAGCAGAGGGGCTCTCCGATGGGGCCCCACAGACAGCTCCAACCCACCCTCACCTCCAAATCCGGATGCGAACCTCCCCGCCTTGGTAGCATCCCAAACCTGTAGCCTTGGCTGCCCCCTGGTGGTGGTGGTGAGTGAGCCCTCTTTCCTGGCTCAAGCAGGGCAGGCTGGCCTCGGCCTTTTCCTTCAGGCTTCTATCATAGAACCTGGCCCCTCTTTCCTCTCCCCGCAGCACCTGTTCTGGTCCAAGACCCTCCTCTCTCAGATCCCTTGCCCCAGTCGGGCCCTTCTCCCTCCAACCCACCCTGCCCATAGTCCAATAGGGCAGTCAGGCAGTCAGAGTGGTCATGCTAAAGCACAAACCTGACCCTGCCCTTCACCTGCTCGCAATCTTCCATGGCTCCCCAATGCCCTCAGAAGAAAGCTTAACCTCCTCTCCACAGCTTTCAAGGCCTTTTCTGAGCTCTCTAGCCTTCTCTGCATGTATTCCTAACTCTTTAAACTCTTCCCCGCCCCCAACCTGGTTCCAGCAGTTTTCTCTACCTCCAATGGCTCCACCCAATTTTTGTTGAATCTTCCAGGCCCACCTCAAAGTTAGCTAATTCATTTATTCAACAAATAAACAAATAATTATTTCCTTTCTTGGACTGTGAGCTCTGTGAGGGCAGGGCTGCGGCTATCTCAGTCACTCCTGGGTCCCCTGCATTGCCCAACACTGGTTTGACACAGAACAGAGTTCAACTCATTATGCTGGGGACCCAAGTGGCCATTGTAGCCCTTGCCTTGCCCTCATGGAACTCCCAGCCCAGGCACAGACCCAAATAGGAAGACAGGCTGACAGAAGGAGAGGTAAAAAGAGAAACAGAAAGAAAGAAAGAGTCAGAAAGACAGAGGAAAAAAGAGAAAAACAAAGTCTAAGATTAGGAGTAGTAGTAGTAGTAGTAGTAGTAGTAGTAGTAACACGTTCCATATATTGGGCATTTTACATGTATGTATCTCACTTAATCCTCATAACAGACCTGCAGCAGGGGTATTTTCATCTCCATTTTTCAGGTGAAGAAACTGAGGCTCAGAGAGGGTAAATAACTTGCTCAAGGCGACAGACCTCAAGGTGATCCTATGTGATGGATCAAGGACCCAATTTCAGACAAAGACATAAACAGAGAGAGAGAGAGAGAGAGAGAGATGAGGAAGAAAAGCAGCATGGAGAAGGGAGCGTAGAGGCAGAGAGAAAAGACAAAGCAAGACCACAAGCCCTGCCCCCTACCACCTGGCAGAGCCGCCCCCTCCCCACTCCTGTCTTTGACATCTCTGTGCAAAAGCACTTGTAATAAAACCAGCTCCATTAGCTGTACCCAAAAGCCACTATGCTGAGCACTTGACAGGCATGAGCTCACTGAATCTGCTCTTCTCCCCTGGGAAGTGGGTGCTGGGATGACTCCCATTTTGCAGAGAAGGAAAAGCCAGGTTATTCAGCCCACTACCCCCCCACCCCCAACACACAACCCACCAGCCTAAACTCCTGCCTGTGGTTCCCTCATTCACACCCTGGTTTTACTCCCTTCCCCCAACACAAAAAGCACGCAGGATCTGAACTCCCCTGGGTTCCCACAATCCTCTGGGGACACTCCTATAACAGCCCTTAGCACACTGCAGCCTGCTGCAGAGTTCTGTACGCAGGAGTCTGACTTCTCCGCTCCTAGAATCATCCGGGTGGACGGTGGGAGAAGTGGGAGTTTTGGAGGCAGGAAATCTGAACTCCTGCTTTGTTTCTATCAGTAAAACAATTAGCTGTGATCATAGAATAGTGTCCCACATCTATTTTGGTCATCACTTTGAACCCATTATTGATTGTGAAAATTAATAAAGGAAAACCTCACTAAAATGGATCTGGGAGGCCAGAAGGGGGAGCTCTCGCACAGTATCGCTCCATGTCAATTACTGGAAGAACTGTCAATTACAAACCCAACATACAAGTAAGAATCCTCAACAGGAAAGAATCGTCAATTATAGGCCCCAACAGAAAAAGATGTATTGCATCTTCTATAAGAAATCGACTAGTCCAGCAACTCAGTTAATGAGAAACCATCATCTCCCTGAACTCTCACTTTTCTCCAGTGGACTTTCCTTCAAAACAACCCCTCCCAACTTCCTCCACAAAATAACATTCCTCTCCTTTGTTTGTTCCACTTGCCTATGGCTTTTGCTGTAGCTTGCTTTTCTCAAATTGCAATTCTTTACTGTTCCCAAATAAACCCATTTTCCATTTTTGCTGGTAAAATAACATTTTTAAGGTCAACAGGACCTTGGTGACTTACATAGTAGGTGATCACTGGGAAATGAATAGGAGTCACTATCATTTATGTATGCCTACTGTGTGCCAAGCAGTATACTCATGGGTGATTTATATCTGTGGCCTCAATGGGGCTTGGATACAGTGACAAACCACAAACATCTTTCACAGTCTTCGAGGCCCTACAAGATCTGGTGGGCGCATTACCTTCCGGACCTCATCTCCCTCCTGCTCTCCTCTCCCTCTGCAGCTCTATTCTCACCAGTCTTCTTGTTGCCCCAGGAATATGCCAAAATCATATCTACTACCTCTGGACCTTTGCACTTACTGTTTCCTCTGCCTGGAAAGCTTCTCCCCTTCCCAACTCCATGTGTTATTGCTTTCTTCTTGTCATTCCCATCTCAGTTCAAATGTCATTTCTTCAGACAGATCTTCCCTGGGCCCACTCTCTCTAAGTTAACCTCACTTTCCTGTCCTTGATCATATCACTTTGTTTTATCTCTGCAATACCACGATCTGAACTTATCTTACCAGCTCCTTGACTCTTTCTTCATCTGTAAAACCGTGATGACAATAGGGCTGTCGTAAACATAAATGAGTGCTTGGCATGTAGTAGACACTCAAGAAATGTTAGCTATTATTATTTATTTTGTGTATGGTGGCTTACCTCCTCCACAAACTGCAAGATCCATGAGAAACAAACTCTGGGGTTTACTTGATAACTACTGAAACCCCAAGACCTAGGACAGAGCTTAGTACATAGTAGGCACTCAGTAACCATTTTTAAATGAATGAAAGAGGTAGGCAAGATAGGACTCCCCCACTTCCCACACTTGGAAAACTGATGGTCAGAGCCAAAACCAGAAAGGGGTGGAGTCAGGATTCAAACCCAGGTCTATCTGGTTCCAAAGCCCTGGGCTTTTACCGTCTGCCTGTGTCCAGAGGCAAATCTCTTCCCACTTTGAGCTCTCTTCCCCTGCCTATAAAACGTGGTTTGGTCATGTCTAGGTGCTGACCCTCATTGGGGACTTGGAGAAGGTGGTCCACTATTTTTATGTATTTATTTAACAGTTGATGAGGTTCCACTACTCTTTTTTTTTTTTTTTAGGCTGAGCCATTTGGCCACCTGCTGGCAGCTCAGCGGCAGCTCAACTCGGGCAGAGACTCGAACTGCTGTTGCTCAGAGCTCGCACTGCTGAGAGAGCTCTTAACCAACTGAGCCACTCCGCCAGCCAGGGTTCACTATTCTTTAAAAGTCAGCTGTCAGGTTTTCTACCCTCCTCTCTTCCCCCCAACATTTGAGCCAGCTCGGATTAACACTCCCAGCCCGCCAGGCGTCATAGCTGGACCGGTGTCAAAATCCAGACTGGATAATGAAGTTATGGGAAATAAGGGCTGTAGAGGAAGAACTAAGGGGCTGCTGATCTGGAAGTGGAAGGAAAGGTTAAGGAGGGACAACAGACTTGAGGGCGGAGCTAACCCTATAAAGCCTTGTCAAGAGCTCTGGGCGAAATACTAAAGACCTCGAATGCTTAGGGGGCGGTGCTAAAGGTTCTGGGGGGCGTGAATAGAACGTTAGCTCCCGCAGGATTCTGGGGGTGGAGCTAAGGCCGCTGGGGGGGCGGGTCTAGATCTAATAAACAAGGGCTCTAAGAACTGGGCTAGAGTAAGAGTTCCAAGGAGGAGCCAGTGGATATCTGGGCGGATTTAAGACCCCAGGGTCGGGTTCTAGTCTCGCAAGGGGGCTTTTGGGAAATCCACTCAAAGATTAGGGAAAAGGTTTTGGGAATATGGGAGTGTCTTCCTCCACCCTATCTTCCTCTCAGAATCGGGGGCTAGGCTTCAGGCTGAAAAGCAGGGAAGGCCCTGCCCCTTCCAATCCTTCTGTGTCCGTATTGGCGGAGGGGCCTGCGCGACAGGCTCTCATTGGTCCTAGACCTCACTGGGGGTCTAGAGAGAATACGCGCTGGTTATGGGCGGGACCAGACGGTACAGAGGGGGGAATCTAGGCGCAACCAATCCCGGCCCGAGGATTGTGTTGTGGGGCCTGGTAGGGGGTGTCCCGACCCCCCTTTCTGGACATCCTGGGGGATGATCCCGGTGCCAGGCCCGGAGTCGGCCGCCTGATGCCAGGCGGGCCGAGCCGGGGATGCTGGAACGAAGGGCGTTGCTATGGCAACGGGAGGCAGGGCCTGGGGGGGGGACCGGGCCCGGGCTGGGGCTGGGGGGGCCGGCGGCGGCTGTGGCGGGGCGATGGCTGAGCGCGGCCCGGCCTTCTGCGGCCTCTACGACACGTCCTCGCTGCTTCAATACTGCAACGGTGAGACCCCTCCTCACTTCCGACCCTGGGCCCTCCCAGGGCTGGACCCATCTTCTCCCGCCCCAACCTCCTGCTCCCAAGTCCCCATCCCTGCCCCTTGCTGAAGATCCTCCTTCCTTCCCCAGCAGAACCCTCACTCCAGTGCAAGGTCCTCGATCCCCCAAACCCTGATCCCAGTTGCCCACCCGCTTTGACTCTCCCCTTCTCCTGAGGTGGCTGGATGGAGAGAAGGGGTCAGAACCTTTAGGAGCTTGGGGTTGAAAGGGTAAAGGCCTGGAGGTCTGCAACTCTGTCCTGTCCTCCCTATCCTCTCTCAACCCTCTAGGACCTTCCCCCCTTCTCCCTGGCAGAGGGACAGGCAGATTAGAGGGAGGGCAGGATTTGGTGTTGGCTTGTGGACTGAGGAGGACCACCAGAGGACTTTTCCCCCACTATATCCCCCAAATTCTCAGGCCCCACCCCTCCATCCTTAAGACTCTCTCCTCCCTAGACAAATTAGTATGATACTAGAAGGGCCATTGTGGGTATCAGGCCCACATGAGGGAAACTGAAGGCAGAGGGGAAGGGAGATGGGAGAAGTGAGAAGTGAAGAATGGTCTCTGGGCAAAAGGGCTGAGGTGGGGAATGGTCTGTAGGGATCAGAGGACTTGAGTCTTGGGGGTGGAGGCCAGGCCAAGGCCTCAGAGTGCCGCTGGCCTCTCTGGGTGGAGACTGAAGGACCAAGGTGAAAACTCCTCTATTTCACTCAATGGGCCCTGAGAAGGAACCCTCTTCCACTTTAGAGGCTCACTCCCCTGAACATACACCCCAGTGTCAGGGACCACTGAAGTTGGCAGAGGGCCAGGATGCTTGCTCATTTTGTCATTCTCTGTCCCTCTAAAAGACAGGATGACAGGGTGCCTAAACCTGGGTGGAGTACCTACTCTGCTGCTGAAAGGGCGTGTGTCCTTGTACAGGAACTTCGCCTCTCTGGACCTCTGTCCCCTTCCTCTTCCCCTTCTCCTAAAATGGGTATAATAGTACAACTACTAGAGTCGCTGGGAGCATTAGGTACCATAATAACAGTTCATTATATTCTGGCTATACTTTGTACATACCATGAGCCGGGAAACATGCTAAGTGTTTTGCATGAAAAGTGCCTGCCACATGTTAAGTCCACTTTAACAGATCTGGGTTTTTGGTAGGTATTATAAATAAGAGGGGGCTCGGCACAACCAGGTGATTGGGCCCTCCTGCCCCTTACCTATTGGCTGTATGACCTTCGGCAAGTTTGCACACTGCTCCAACCTCGGTCCTTAGTTTTCCTCCTTTGCATATGTGATGCCAACAGGACCCTGAGATTCCCACATCTTGCGTTCCAAGCCCAGAGAACTATCTCCTTCCGACCTTGAGAGGCCCCTATCTTCCTCTTCAGGTCCAGGCACCGGACCAGAGAGGCGCTGGGTGGGGGGTTGGGCAGGCAAAGCCTGGCAGACGATTGGGCCGCGGGGGGAGTGCGGGGAGGGACTGAAGGCTGCACTGCGGAGCCCAGCGGTCGGGCGGGGCGGCCTATGGCTTTGGGATGGCAGGTGCGACCTACACGTCCCGTCCCTGTTAATGCAACCACCTTTATGTCTACCTGGCTGGGGGCCAGGGCATCCTCGGTTGTTGCCAGCAATGAGTCTGGGTATGAGCGGTCTGGGAGGAAGGGAGAAGGGAAGGCACCTCGGTCCTCCGCCCCTCCCAATTCGGGAAAATGCGGGGGTGGGGGGCGTGATGGAAGAGTTATTTTGGCTGCACCCTTGGGCTGGAGAGGAGAGGGAGAGCCGAATCTCGGGCATGGGGTATACAAGCGAAATAAAGTAGGGGAACAGAGGAGAAACGCTCCGGCTGGGAAAGAGAGTTTGGGTGTCAGATCCTCGCCCACATCTCCCATGTGTGGGTCTCCTGGGTCTGTGATGCGCTGTCTGCAACCCCCAAGTCTGCCGCCAGGGGCCGCAGAAACTCTGTCCTTGCCTCAGGCTCTGGGGTCGAACCCCCTAGTGTGGAGAGAAAGGGAAGGGGAGGGACCACCCAGGACCTTTTGGCTAGGAAAGTCAGAGAGGGAAAGTTAGTATCCGCGATAAAATATTGGTATTCGTCAGGGAATACTGGCGATCAATTCTAGAACGTTGGTGTCACTAGGAATAAGTTGATGTCATCCTTAAAATGATATCACTCATAAATATTTAGCATCTTAGTCATAGAATCTTAAAACCGGAGTCGAAAGGCTCTAGATTCGTAGACTCTTAGAAGGTAAGAGAGGAAGGGACTTCCCTAAGGTCACACCTCCAGGGCGCTGCGGCAGAAAGGAGTGTGGGGGCAAGGACTGAGAGCCATGGGGATTTCCTTACCCCTCCTCCGAGCTCTGTTCTTGGCCCATCTCCAAGCGTCTCAGGCCCAGGTTGCGGGAGAGGAAGGGGGCGTGGCTGGCCCCGCTTAGTCCCGGGAAAGCGGGAGGGACACCTCGGGCGCTGGAGTTTCTGGGTGGCCCCCGCAGCCCGCACTCTACTGCCTTCCAGATGACAATTTATCGGGCACGAGCGGCATGGAGGTGGACGACCGCGTGTCGGCGCTGGAGCAGCGGCTGCAGCTGCAGGAAGACGAGCTGGCGGTCCTAAAGGCGGCGCTGGCTGACGCGCTGCGTCGCCTACGGGCATGCGAAGAGCAGGGCGCTGCACTGCGCGCGCGGGGCACCCCCAAAGGCCGGGGGCCTCCGCGCCTAGGCACCACAGCTTCGGGTATCTTCGCTAGACTGGAGGGGTGAGCTTAGAGAGGGGCCGGTGCTCGGCCCTCACACTCACCGGCTTCTGTCTTCTAACCTCATCCCTCTAGTGTGTCAGCTCTTGAAAGGCCTTCCCACCAGGACGCCCCTCAATGGCTCCGGACCCCAGCGGCGCGTGGGTGGCTATGCCACGTCCCCTTCCTCCCCCAAGAAGGAGGCGACCTCCGGACGCAGGTAAGGCACGAAAGCCGAGATCCTCAGCCTCCTTTCAAAACCTTGTGGGAGACAGACCGTTTATATGGAAAGGTATGGACTCATGTGCCCGAACTCCAGCAGTGGAAGATGTGGGGAGGTTCTCGCCTGCCTCCAGCACTCGCCCGCTGACCTCTCAGGCTCCCGCCCTAACTGTGTGGTCTCTCTTTGTAGTGCCCGCCGCTACTTGTCTCCGGAGCGCCTGGCCTCAGTGCGCCGCGAGGACCCCCGCAGCCGCACCACATCCTCTAGCAGCAATTGCAGCGCCAAAAAGGAAGGGTAAGAGTCCGAGGCGGGGTCATGTCACAGACAGTGGGGCCAGGACCCCAAATAGGCATCTAAGAGAATGGGGAATTTAGGGTGATGCCCCAGGCCACGATGTGGTAACCTCGAGCAGGGTCATCTAGTTCAGAATGCGGGGACCGTGCCGGAGGCCTGGAGGGACTAATCTTGATGTAGCGTGGTAGAAAGGGGAAGGCCTGGAAAGGCGGAACCAACATTGAGGGGCGTGGTCAAAGCCTTAAGGGGCTGGACTAGAACAGAGGAGATGTGGATGGTCAAGGTCTCCTGGGTGAGCCAGAGCAGAA